GGCCATGTTGATTCTTGATTCCCTTTTTCTAATTGTTTTTTTGTCCTAAATAATGCCGTAATTGCAGGTATCTATAAAAATCCCTGATTGATAAGGTTGAATGTCTCTTTTGGCTCTTGAAAACTCATCAATTTGTATTTATTTAGAACCTCCCTATGCACATTGGGTCCATTTTCCCACAATTTAAATCTGCTATCCAATTTATTAGGTGGGAATTCTGTAACATCTGCCATCCATCTCAGAAATCTACAGTGATCTGTGGGATTGTGTTTTCTTATAATTTTATTACAACTTTTAATAGATAAACCCACCCATTGATTGATATTTGGTGGAGTGGCAGCCTAGTGTTTAAGGCATAGGGCTTGGAATCCTGAGGTTGTGAGTTCGAAACCCGCTCCCACAGATCGCCACTCTGGCTGTCTGAGCAAGACACTTAACCCCTGAATGCTCCCCTCGCGCCCCATGATGGCAGCCCACTGCTCCCCATAGGGATGGGTTAAATGCAGATTTCTCCACTATGAGTCTCTCAGTCATCCAGGTCATAGTCATTCCAAAAAAGAAAATTAAAAATGAAAACAATCCACTGGACTTTGTTTCCAATTTTGAAGATGTTTTGCTTCCCATCCAGGAAGCTTTTTCAATTCAAAATGTCAGGAATAGAGTTCAGTTTCGAGGTTTTATACAGCAGCTCATAAAAACCTTGTTTAAGTTTTGAAAACATGCAAATTGAAACGGACGAAGGGGTCCACTCCTTTGGAATGGGGGTCGTTTGGCTTCTTTTTTTAGCCTGCAATGCCCCATACCGGTCTAAGTGTCTGAAAGGTTTTTTTTAAAGGGAATTGTTTGCCTGGCTGAATAGGCGAGGTCCTCCACTCTCCTGTATAGGGGCTGCAGTGATAACGGGAAGGGATTAACTCTATTGCTGCTTTGTAGGTTTTAAAGCTGAAACCTGAGTCCACCTCCTCTGTTTAAGGTTGGTTTTTCTTTCTTAACATAGATGGCTTCCTTCACGCCCCTCTCAAACCACCTCCTTTCTTTGTCCAAAATGTGAAGATTCTGGTCCTCAAAAGATTGTCCTTTGTCCATAAGGTGTAGATGTACCACAGATTCTTGTCCAGAAGAGGTCGCTCTTCTGTGTTGGGCCGTGCGTCTGTGAAGAGGTTGTTTGGTTTCTCCAATAATGAAGATCAGAGCATTCCTCTCTGCATTGAACTGCATACATCACTCCACTCATTTGGTTCGGGGGTTTAATCTTTAGGATGCACTAGTCTCTGATTAAGGGTCTTGTTTGGTTTGATATGTACTGGGATTTTGTGTTTGGAGAAAATCCTCTTGAGTTTTTCAGAGACTCCAGCAACACATGGGATGGCGATTCCTTTGCGTTTAGTCTTTTCACCCTTATGTCCTGCTGCATGTCTTTTGGATTTCCTTGCTAATATGACAAAGGCCCAGTTTGGATATCCGCAGGTTTGAAGAGCATCTTTGATGTTTTTCTGTTTTTGTAGGGACATGCTCAGAGCTATGTTGTAAGGTTCTGATGACTGAAAGTTTGTGTTCCACACAAAGTCCAGTGGATTGTTTTTCATTTTCTTCTTTTGGAATTCATTAGCATTGGTAAGGAGGAGGATTTAGGATTAACCATGTAAATAAGGATGTCGTCTGCAAACATCTCAATTTTCTGTCTCCCGCCATCACCACCCCTTTGATATTATTATATCCATTGGCTTAGTGGCTCAAAAAAGATGGCAAACAACAATGGCCTTACTGAACATCTCTGCCGACAACCCCTTTCTAGTTTGAGAATTTTCAATAGACTGTCATTTACCTTGATCGTAGCTCTATGATTTGTATGTAAAGTGTGGATAGTTTTGATACATTGCTCATGAAAATGAAAACTATTCGTTACTTTAAACAAGAATTCCCACCTTTCAGGATCAAATACTTTTTCTGCGTCCATTCCCATTATTAAAGCTGCTAAGAGATATGCTGCATGACGTGTAATGTCACTCTACATTTCTACTGAGAGGACCAATAGAAATTAGTTTGCTCTGCATGGACGTTAGCAACAGTGTTTCCATTGGTCCGTTCACAGACCACCCAAAAATGTAGGGCAGAGGTCACAGATTAGCAGACCAGGGTATGGATCCGGAACCAACCTGATTTAAAGCATTTGTAAATTAC